TATACATATTATATATATATATATATATATATATATATATATATATATATATATATATATAATATATATATATATATATATATATATTTATATATATAATATATATATATAATATATATATATATATATATATATATATATATATATATATATATATATATATATTTATATATATATAATATATATATATATATATATATATATATATATATATATATATATATATATATACATATGCACACATATTCATATACATATATATATATAGATAGATAGATCGATAGATAGATAGATAGATAGATCGATAGATAGATAGATAGATAGATAGATAGATAGATATAGATAGATAGATACATATATATACATATATATATATATATATATATATATATATATATATATATATATACATACATACATACATACACACACAACCACCTATTTTGCCCTCAGTGGGACACAGGCCATCAGAGGGACTGGTCAGCGAATTGTCTTTCTTTCCGCTGATGTCCACTCCTTAATAAAACTGCTGCCTAATTTCAACTTGAACAGTGTCTTTTCTCCCGCCGATAGTATTCCCGCTTCTCCCTTATGCCGGCCACCCTGCGCATAGTCCGCCCGATCCTCCGACCTCTTTTATACCCCCTCCTTTCCCTTTTCTCTTCAGACCTGAGGATGGAATATAGGTGGATTTGGAAATTGTAGTCTCATTTTCAATAAATCTAGCATTGTGGGTTTTTTCTACCATAGTGTCTCTACACACACACACACGCACACACACACTGTAAAGGGTTAAAGTTGAACCTCTAAGCATTGGTGACAGGACAGTAATAAAAAGCTTGGGTGGCTTTACTCTCATTATTATTAAGAGTTCAGCACATGGATTAAGTTTAACACAACGAGAATCTTGGGTAGCGCTGGGTCGCCTGGGGTCACGGGCGACCACCGCCTCAGCGGGCAGACTGGCCGCGCCCAGGGATCACGACTGATCCCTGGGCGCGGCAAGGCACACTCTAACTGACAAGGGTCATCCTTGGAATATAAGTAGCGGCGGCCACCGGAAGCGGGGGGGGGGGGGGGTCATCAGCTGGGACTGGGTCACGAGCAGAGTACCACCCGGCTCGTCCTCGAGGCGATCTAGACTTTCCTCAAGGGTGACCCAACCTGGCTGGTCCTAACCTGCTCGTCCTCGATCTCGGGTGCGGTATCCTTGGTGCATCTCCGTGGCTGCTCGTCCTTGTCGTCATCCTCATCCTGGACCCTGGTAAATCCATCCGTCCTTGACATCCTCATGTCCTCGAAGGTCTCGCGCAGGTCCTCCTTGATTCGGATTCGCCCAGACTTCCTCGTAGTCCGCGTACAGATCTAACTCGGCGGCTAACTCGCCCAATGCACGTCTCGCAGATCTCCGTCCAGGTCCTTCTCGGCTGTGCGCTCGTACAGACGTCCTCGTAATTGTCGTCAGGATCTACGGGCGTCCGGCAGGAAACGTCCTCTTCGACATCGCAGGGCGGCTGATACCTGCACTAACAAGCTCCTGCAGTTTGACTGGATCTACTGCGTCCAGGCAGGCGGCACCCGTCCACAGCATCATGGGACGGCGAAAATCTGCGCTGGCGAGTTCCTGTCTTCGCCGGATCTCCAGGCGTCCTGGCAGGCGGCGCTCGTCCACGTCCTGGGGCGGCTTAATACCTGCTCTGATGAGCATCCTGGTCTCCAGGCTTCTGGCTATCCTCTGATGACGATAGTGAGAGAGAGAAAAACAACAGAGAAGAGGTGTTAAATGCTACTAGCCGAATTTTGTTTTATAATTTGCAGTTTTAAGGTCGAATTTTCGTTATTTTCGTTGTTGTTGTTGTTTTTCATTTTGTGTTTTATGTTCACAAAGTTAAGTTAAAAGAGGAAAATAGGAGAGGGAGACGGCGATAGCGATCCTAGCTCAAGGACCTAGCTTGAACTACCAAAACGTCTCTTGATAGATACGAGAATAAAGTAAGGTAAACGACAATTGGCACCCGGCAAAGGTCTGTTTGAACAATTGTCGAACCCGAAAAGAAAGTATGCTGGCGTCGACTACCTACGGGAGGCAAGAGGGGGAAGGTGTTGCTTGGGCAACACGACCTTCCTGTTTCCCTACGGACCTAAGCACTTGTACATAAAAAAAATGTCTGGCTCATAGCACACAAATGAGGGAACAGAAAAAAGGAATTTAGCCCTTTGAACTTACGCGGCCCTGTAGAAATACCGACAATGATTATAGTGATTGATGAGTGTCAAATAAAAGGAAGAGTGACCTCCTATAGAGCAGTAATGTTGCCAACACATTGAATAAAGTTCATTTTAACAATAATGCGACTAATTATTTATAGACGTAATGCAAAATTATTTCAACTACCACATTGAATTTAACATTTAATGATATGCGAGAGAATGACGCATTAATGAATGGTGACGTGAAAATTATTCGCAAGCCTCTTCGCGAGCTAATCTTCTCGGGATATGCCGAGGAAGTAATTATGTCTTCACCGGACTTGTAGGCTTCATTGACGGGGAGACGTAACCCAAAAATACTGTATTTTATGAAGTTAAATGAGCTGGGAAAATCTATAAATAACCCAATCTATCTGCGGATCTATGATGGGTGCTCATGAAATGCCCTTCGAGGATTTATCATGAATCACAAACCATTGGGATCTACCCAACATGCCGAGCGACATTCAAAAGTGTGAGCGGGTTATGATTAATTAAGTGGATCCAAAATCAGACTTAAATCCTGTCCTAAATTAATGGACATAATTGCGGTCACCCCGGCTCAAAGTTTGCCAAACATATGAATTACTTTGGTTACCTAACCTTATTATACGTCGGACGCACGAGTACAGTACACATAAATGCAACCTCAAGTATTCAGACACTCTGACACTATGCTATGAGGATATCTCTTGGCATTATATTCAAGTATACGAGTCGCGTTACAAGTTCCGTTCTAGCGCCGATAGAACGTGTCACCAATGAACATGTAACGGTTGCTATGTGTTAACCCTATATTGTGACAACTAGTGAAAACAATTAAAAGGGAATTGGCAAGCAGTTTCCTGTGTCAATCACTCCAGTGAAAGTGAGGTCAGAATCGCCCCAGCTGTTTCAAGCGGGCTCTGACTAATGACATTCATGTGAGGTCAAGACAGGAAATGGGGGGGGGGGGGGAGAAGGAAATTAATGAATAAATATTTGTGAAAGGAATAAAATCACGAATGCGCTAAATTCGTTGCAGTTGAAACAATATAATCTAATCACAAAAAAAAAAAAAAAAAAAATAGACACTTAATAAATGAGCAAATTCATGTTTGACTCCATACCGCGATTAATAGTAATGAGATGTGAGGTCAGAAAATGAGAAATGAGAGCGTGCCATTTCGATCACTTAGCACCTTTACCCCAACAAGAACCTACGTGAGCATGGCTGTACACGGCTTAACACATTTAGGGAGTAGATAGAAAGGAAATGAAAAGAGAAGGGGCCCAAATGTGCACTTACGGTTCTTGAAGAATGTCATCTTGTGTTTGTTTGTGGCGAGCAGTTTTTCTTCCGAGAAGCTTGGTTCGGTTGTGCGCCAAAAGGACGCAACTACCACCGTCTACCACCACTTGTAAAGGGTTATAGTTGAACCTCTAAACATTGGTGACAGGACTAATAAAAAGCTTGGGTGACTTTACTCTCTTTATTATTAAGAGTTCAGCACACGGATTAAGTTTAACTCAACAACGAGAATCTTGGGCAGCCCTGGGTCGCCTGGGGTCACGGACGACCACCGCCTCAGCAGGCAAACTGGCCACGCCCAGGGATCAGTCGTGACCTTGAACGCGGCAAGGCACATTCTAAATGACAGGGGTCATCCTTGGAGTATAAGTAGCGGCGGCCACCGGAAGCAGGGGGGGAACACCAGCTGGGACCGGGTCACGAGCAGCTGTTTAGCAGCTGTACCACCCGGTATACACACACACATATATATATATATATACACGATTGTATGTATATATAAATAAATAAATGAATATATATATGTATATATATATACTTATATGTGTATATATGTGTGTGTGTGTGTACATATATACTTGTACCAAAGATAGGATGAGGAACGGAGAGGCAAACATAATTAATGAGGTATGTGTATAATAATGTGTAAATTTATTGTTTTTCTTTTTCGGAAATAGAGTATATAAGTAAGGGATGCGGCAGAGATTTACTTGAATTAATCATCGCATCAGAACAGAACGAGAACAAAAGCAGCAGTACGAAAAATAAGAGTTCTAACTGGCAAGTCGGAAAAAAGCCCTCCCTACCTGCGGCCAGTCGAGGAGTTGTCACCGCGAATCTTATGTGGTTACTTATTGTTTTTTTCTGCTTTCAGCTCTGTTAGGGGACCCTGTATTCAAACACAGTATATGTAAAACGTATACATGTAATGTGTAACCTATATGTAATTTAATGGGTGATGTGTAATGAACAAACGCACACACACACACACACACACACACACACACACACACACACACACACACACACACACACACACACACACACACACACACACACACACACACGCACACACACACGCACACACACACACACACACACACATACACACACACACACACACACACACACACACACACACACACATACACACACACATACACACACATACACACACACACACACACACACACACACACACACACACACACACACACACACACACACACACACACACACACATACACACACACACACACACACACACACACTCATTCTCTCTCTCTCTCTCTCTCTCTCTCTCTCTCTCTCTCTCTCTCTCTCTCTCTCTCTCTCTCTCTCTCTCTCTCTCTCTCTCACTCTCACTCACTCACTATAAAAGGCCTCCAAAACATACCATTAAGTTAGCAAAATGTACGTAAGACTACAACAGTATGCTGAATTTGTCTTATCTTGACAGGTTCCCGTGGAGGACATCACTAAGTCATCCAAGCTGCTGATTGAAGCCTTAAGACTCCGAGAAAA